CCACTAGTTTCCCGCCCCAGGCCCTAAACTTCGGAAGAGGCAAGACTGAAGATCCAGAAAGCACTGTAGCCCGCCCTATGCCACCCCGGGGGCCTTCTTTCTCCATTAGGAGGACCAGGCGCCCGCAAATGACACACGGAAACCAATTCGGTCAGAAACACGCACGGGGTCCTTTCTCACTTCAAAACCACATCGCCGCATACACTCACACCCCCCCCAGACACACCCGCCAAAGTCCCCGGCCCTCACCCACTCCCGAGCGCGCAATCCCAGACTCAGACCCATCACCAGACACCCCAACTCCGGCGAAAGTTCCAACACCTCACTAAGACTCGGTCACAAGCGCAAACTCGGGGCCCCGGGCAAAAAGAGGGCGGCAAGCAATTCTGAGACGGTCCCACAAACACCTCAACTCATAACCCGTAGCTTCCCACCCCAACTCACACACCCCAAAGCTGGATCCCCGACTCCCGCCGGAGCCTTCCTACCTCCCGGCCTGGGGCTGGGGAGCCGCGGGCGGGCGGGGCGCTGCGAGGGAGAAAGTTGCCCGGGAGCTTTGTTTGGGAAAAGTGGGAGGGACCGGAGGGGGGGGGGCGGGCCCGGGCGCCGGACACAGGGAAGAAGGATCCGACGGTGACAGTTCGCAGGAGGATTTTTGCTTTGGCAAAGGAGAGGTGAAGTCTAGCTTGGGCCCGGTAGGAACTTCAGGCTTCAGATGCTTGCATCCCTGGGAGAGGTGACGGATGGGGGATCCGGACTCCTAGGTCTCGGAGAGGAGGTTGACGGGGGCCAAGAAACCTGGGTGTGAGGGAGGAGGAGTCTGGGGGCCTGGACTTTTGGCTACCACCCTCCAGTGTATTTGTGTGTTGGGGACGTGGAAGTGATAAGAACACAAAAGAATCTTTTCTCTTCAGCCTTAAGTATATCTGCGGTATGTGAGATGGATTTTTGATTGATTTCTGGGACACCCGGGTTTCCTTGTGACTTCAGCAGAATTAAAGAGGTGGGCAAGAGTACTGGGAATTTATTGGAGATGCAGACTCTTGCTCCACACACACTAATGGACCAAGCCCGAGAGAGACCCTCGGTGCCTGAGCGGAGAGGAGCTAGGGTCCGGCCTCCTGCGTCCTTTAAAGGTGAGGTGTTGGATGTTCACATTCAGGGAACTAGAGGGACCTGTGGTCCGAACTCTGGGGCCCTAAGGCGAAGGGAGCCTGAATTCTGGGCTCCTTGGAAGGTAGAACATAGGACTGGATTTAGGTTTCCAGAGAGGTCGGGGCTTTTCAGTGGAACGGAAGAGGACCCCAGTTCAGCGTCCCTTGCACTGCACTCTGTGGAGTGCAGTAATCGTTTCAAATCTTGGAGAAGATGAGAAAGAACACGGAGAAACTCAGAGATAAATGCAAAACTAAGGAGTGGGTGAACCAGAATGACTGCTCGGTCTCGGGCTTTCCACGCATTTGGCAGCCTAAGAATGGAACTGAGGGGGCTGGCGGCAAGATCTGGGGCACAGACGAATGGCCCAGGTGTGGGGGCATGGCTCTAAGTCAAGGGGCGTGGCCATCTGAGATTGGAGGGGGACGAGAGGGCCAAAATCCGAGAACACAGGCCACACAGGATCTTGAGGGCCCAGGTCAACCGACAGGGGCGTGGTCTGACAGTGGGGGTGTGGCTAACAAGTAGAGCCGTGGCTCTGCCCTTAAGGGCGTGACCACCCAGTAGCAGGCCTGGCTCGCGGGTGAGGTCAGCGGATGGGGGCGTGGTCAGGTAGTAGGCGCGAGGCTAAGGCTCGCGGAGCTCATCCAACGCTCCAGGTAACCCCGCCTGGGCTCGAGACCAGAACTGTTTGGATTTAACAGTCCGTGGACGGACGGCCGGGGTCTGGGAGTCCGGTGACCGGGCTGTGGTCTAGCATAAAGGCGAGGCCCAAAAGAAGGGGCAGGGCGTGGGAGAAGGTGAGGAATGAGATCTGGGTATGAATGTGGGTGAAGGAAAGGACTGAGAACCGTGTGTAAGGCCAGAAGAGCCGGGCCCGGGAGGAGGGGGAGGGCCCGACGCGATGGAGGGGGTAGGGTGGGTGGACAG